TATTCCCCACAAAATTTCACAAAAAAAACAAAAGCCTCCATCCCCGCCTTGCAAGGAGAAATATTATTGAAATCTTCATTTCCACGACCGGGATTTCCACGTAACTCAGCAAAAGAAATCGTCATTCCTAATAATAAATGCAGACTCCTCTATTTAATAATTAATATTTTATAAATTAATATTTTATAGAGTATATATGCACTAAAAACCACTGAACTCTTATAAGAATTATGCGGAAACTAAAATGTAAGGCAAACAAACTCTACTTTAATGGTGTCAAATTTACATTTCTGCTTTCCCTATGTGAGCTGGTTGAATGAAAAGATCTAAAAGTAAACATCATCGATGAAAAAGTCATATACCAAATTGGTTTCGCAGTCTAATCTTCATAAGTTGAAGCCTCCACCGTATCCGTATTAAGCTAGGCAGCCCCTTTTGCATATCTGCTTCACAAACTTACGCTTTCTATATATATAACAACCTTGCCTCGCCCTAAGGACATTTTAATAGTTAAAAAATTAAGTTTTTATGTTAAAAATTTTAAATTTAAACTTTAGAATTGTTGAAATGGTATTTGGAAATAAGAGAGTTATTTATATTTTATAACCTATCATCTAATGTAAAAAAAAAAAAAAAAAACCCACCTTCTATACCCTGTTTAACGTAATATTAATTTGTAGACAACAAACCACACCAATTCTAACCTCACTGTTCTTATTATAAAGGTGATCATTTTTTTGTAATTTCCTTTCAATTCTCTAATTCCACCCAAACATTGTTTACATCCAATCAAATTACAAAGACAAACAATTGACATGCAAAACTAACTACCAAGTTGAGATTAAAAAAATCAAATAATTAACTTTAAAAGTTAGATCAATCAGTAAATAAGTATCAACATATCTAAAATTCAAATTTTAAGACCATTATCTAATTAAAGAATTTAATTTTATTTTGAATACACTATTAATATAAAAGATGTACCTTTAAAATTACCTAAATAGATATTAATTTAAAAATGTGTGTAAATTCACATGTGAAAATCTTGATCCTCTAAATATATAAGTGTATATAAAACTTGCAACTTATTAGCTTGCAATTCAACCAAAATTTCATTGGCATCTTAATTAATGATAAAAAAAAAAAAAAAGAGCAATTTCTATAACCACCTTACCTTGGCAGAAAGATTAGGAAAACCCCTATTCCAAAAACTTTGAATTTTGTCAAATTCATAAAATTTCTCTCAATTATATCATGAAAAGAGAAGAAAGATGATGGGTGAAGAGGCAGAGGCGATGCACTCCCCAAAAATAGCTGCTTCTTTAATCAAAAAGAAAATGGGTTTTACCACTTGCACTGCACAAAAACTAAAGAGGAGTGTTAAAATGGTGCACCAAGTCTCTTCCTGCAAAAGACAGCCAGGACGGCCCCACTCGACGTGACTTCCTTTAAGAGGAGTATTCCCCGAAGTGGGTTGAGGTCTACGTGTCATTATGGTTGACGTTGATTGTGTTTGCCCCTGGAGGGAATGAAATCTGACAGCTGATATGGGGCTATCTTGGGCTCCCTATCATTTAACTTCAACCATTGATTTTCCATCATGGGTGGTCCTCCACACTCACCCCATTAATCGGTTCCCCAATAATGGAGATAATTTTTTCTTTCTTCCTTTCTTTAAAAAAAGGTGCTGTTAAAGAGCAGTAAATGAAATTTATGCTTATGTACCGAGCAGTAAATGAAATTTATGCTTATGTACCTAAACAAAAAGAAGAAGAATTTATCTACCAATTGTTGTGGGTGAGGGGCATGGTTTCCTGTTGGGAACTTCGCTAAGCTTCCAATACGTCTCATGGTTAAGATTCTACAGCACAGTGGATGCCACCTTCAGCCAGTTAGTGGCTTTTTCCTTTTTTCCTTTTTTCCTTTTCCCTTTCCTTTTATTTTGAATTTAAATGATTTTTAATTAAAAATGCATGCTGTGCCTTTTTTTTATCTTTAGTTATGCTAAAGAGCACTCCGGCATGAATTTTTAAAAGAGAAGGTAAATTTTCAAGTTAATCTACAAAAAAATATATATATTTGTAAAAATAGTTAAGTATTTTTTAACAAATATTTTTAAGAGTATATTTGGTTTGAGAATAATGACCTACGTCATTTTATTTGGCTTCCCTTGCTCCATTTGAATAAGTAGTAGAATTAAGAGCCTTAAAATATATATATATATATATATATATATATATGAAGGACTTCTTTCCGTTCCGCTCACCTTTCCTCCCATTCAATTGTTTTTGTAATTAAATAGAGAAATTGTTCCTCTTCTTCTTTCCTTAAACCAAATATACTTAAGGTATTTGAATAATTTTATAGGCATTTTTATAAGCTTTTTTTTTTATAAATTGACTTTTCTATTTTTTTTAAAGGGGAAATTTTGGAATAAGGGTAACGTATAACCATAAGTAACAACCCTGCCTTGCTGTGTAATTAGGCAGATGTTGGCTTGAATAAATCTCATGAATTGAGGGTTACCAAACTTTTAATTTTGGACCATTACTCATAGAGCCCTCCTAAAAACAAAAGAGGAAGGCAAAATCTGTAAAAATAATAATAATAATAAGTTCCTTCCTTTTAGGGTCGATCTCCCTGATGTCTTCATTAACAAAAAGAATAGTTTGAGAACATTCTCAAATACAGAAAATGAACCAGCTTACAATGGCTTAATTAAAATACATCAAATCTAATACTTACAATCAAGTATTATAATAACCGTCAATATTCGGCCCAATATAGTGCACTTTTTACAGGTGGAATCCATCAAATCCTGCACTAGGGGTAAACTAATAAAAAATGCACTATATTGGGCCAAATAGGCCAATTACTTTTCAACCCTGTTTGGATTTTGGATTGTAGCTACTAGTCAAATGTGGCAATTTTATTAAAGTCATGTATGGAGAGCTTAGTCACTTTCCAAATGGTGCCATTTCTTAGTTGCAGAAATTGGAAAAAAAGAAAAAGTGAAAAGTCAAATAAATAGAGAGAGATAGGTGAAGGCAAAAAAACAAAAGCTTCATGGTGATCATAATCTCCATGTAAAAGACAAAAGTTACAAACTGTGAACTCAATTCAGAATCCCCATTCAATATAGTAAATTTCTCTGTTTTCACCTAAGAAAACGAACTGGGAAATAAAGTTTTTTTAAAGTCATTTTTTTACCACCCATGACCTCAAACTTAAACCCCTTTTAATAGTTTATTTGGATTAGCAATTAAAATATTGTAGATAAATGATATATTTCACTATTGATAATTACTGTTATATATTGGCAGTTCAAAAAATTATTATTATTATGTATAATTGAAATTATTTTATTTGTATAATTAGATAAAATTATTAATTACTAATATCAATTTACTATGTGTTTACACCTAAAATAAACCAATAGGGTAAGGCCACGTGTTAAGGTAAAGTCCAATTATCAAGAAAATCAATAGGCTGGATTTGGGCTGAGCTGGTTTACAATTTAACGGGCTAGACAGATTTCCAAGGAGGTTGGATCTTAGATGGAAAAAGATAAGATTAGATCTGGTAGTTTGAGTTTGATTTAAAATGGGAAATTGAGGATTTTTAGGTAGTTATCCTTAAGGTTGTTGGAGATAAGGTTAAATAAAAATTGGATAACTGTCAAGTAACTGCCAGACCTGCAACCCCACTACCAAATCATGGAGGAACAGTACCAGAAATCATGGAGGGAGGGTGACAGCACCGAAGCAACGAAAAACCAAAGAGATCAGTTACTGGCCGGCCCAACACACACACAGACTGCTCAGAGCATGTTTTTCAGCTTTCAGACTGCATTTTCTAGATTTCAACAATAATTTCCAGATTTTCCAGATTTTCCAGATTAGTTCATAGCCTTAGCCTAGGTTTGTTCATCTTTGTTCATATTTTCTCCCGCAAATTCCAATTTAGATTAGTTTTTAAACATTTGGAAGCAACTTAGCCTTCAAAACAAGTCTGCCCTTTTGATTCGGTTAGTTCTTTTTCCTTTTATGGATTTAGTTATGTTATTCGTTCATGTAAATAGGATGAATGTTTTCTACCTTTATTCTTTTGTTTCTGCACAATATCCAGACATGCAGTTTGTTTAATTTTAATTTCAAGATTTAAATTTATAAGTTTCCAAACTTTGATCATTTCATAGTTTCTTCTTTAGTTTTAGTTATCATTATGGGCTGCGTAGTTGAAATCATTGTCTGTTATTTTACTTTTTCTGTTGTCTGCGAATTTAATCTTTATGGCATGTTGTTTTCTGTTATTTACTTCATGTTAGTTTAATTGCTTTAGGATATTGCATTTAATTTAGGATTTGTAGCTTTTATTACACTTGTTTGGTTGTGAAGTCCTTAGAGGTTTCCAAGGCAATTAGTAACCCATTTTGCAGAACTCTACCCTCTGTTTTGCAACATCGTCTGGGGCGCAATTCATTTCACAGACATTCTTTCCAGCCATCTTATTGGAGGTCGACCGCTGAAAAGAAGAAGGGTCGTCTGGAAAATCCTATTTTCTTGTTTTTAGATAAAGCAAGTGGCACACCTAATAACCAAACTCACGTGGTAAAGGTCGGCTGAGGATTTTTGGGGAAATACTATGCCAACTAATTTATAAATTGGTTAAATGCTAAATTTAGTCCCTCAACTTTACAAAATGCACATTTTTGGTCCCTTAATAATTTTTTGCCTTTTTTTTTATCCCTTAACTCTAAAAATTGCACAGTTTTGGTCCTTCCGTCAGTTAAGTATGATGTGATAGTTAAATAATTTCATGTGGCATTGTTTTTTAATTTTTTTGATGATGTGGCACTAATATATATTATAATTATGTTATATAAATAAATAAAAATGCCACATAAATTAATATACATATTTTAATTAAAAACATATAGAATTACTTGATTACCCTCGTCCTCACCCTCACCCTCCTAATCCCTCTTCTTCCCCTTCTTTTTTTCTCTTTCTTTCTTTCGGGTTTGGTGGAAACCCAGCCTTGCTGGGTTCGTCAACCAGCCAAGGCTAGGTTCATCGAAACCCAGCAGATCTGGGTTTCGACGAACCCAGCCTTGCTGGGTTCGTCGGAACCTAGCCAAGGCTGGGTTCAGTTGAAACCCAGCAAGGCTGGGTTTGGTGGAAACCCAGCCTTGCTGGGTTCACGACCAGCCAAGGCTGGGTTCGCCGGAACCCAGCAGATCTGCTGGGTTCGGACGAACCCAGCTTTGCTGGGAAAGCTTGGTTCTTGTTTTTTCGTTCTTCTTTCGATTTCCATTTGCTGTTATTAATATATTTGGAGATTGATTTATAATTTGATTGCATTTTTGTTGGAATTTGATTAAAGTTTGATTGTATTTTTGTTGAAATTCGATTTGAGTTTGATTGGTATTGTTTATTGAAGGGTTATTTTGATTTGGTAAGATCTGCCAGGTTTGAGGTTTCAATGAAACCCAGTATCTCAAGTTTCCCCGAGAAAAGAGAAGAAGAAGAAATGGGTGGGTTAAGATCGGTTCTGTAGATGAAGTGGAGATGAGAGAGCATTCACAGAAGAAGAAGAAATGGGTTAAGATCGATTTTGCAGATGGAGTGGAGATGAGAGAGCATTCAGAGAATAAGAAAAAATGGGTTAAGATCGATTTTGCAGATGGTGAAAATGAGAAATTAGTTTGCAGGTAACTGGAATCCATTGAAGGGGTTTGACGTGAAGAAGATGACATGTCATAAAAAAAAAAAAAAAGGTCCAGATAAGCATCTTTTTAAGTTGTGTTCGCCATATCATCAAAAAAAATATAAAAAATGCCATGTGGCCGAGTTAACGACCCAAATTGACAGAAGGATTAACGGAATGCATTTTGTATAGTTGAGGGATCAAAAAAATGCAAAAAATTGTTGAGGGATAAAAAATGTGCAACTCACTAAAGTTGAGGGATCAAATTTAGCATTTAACCTTATAAATTAGATTAGATTTAAAATTTTAACCGATAATTTTTTATTTTTTACAATTTAAATTATAAAAAAATTTAATATTTTTAATAAAAGGGATGAACAAATTTAATGTAAAGAAAACGATCGAGGCACAAATCTTACCTCGGAAAGAATTGACATAACATGGGTATATTTTCCAAGACATTACTATGGTGTTGCTTTTTGATGATTAAGGGAACCCATCTAGGAGACGCATGGTGGGACAGGCTGATTGATAATTGAAGAGATAGTTGCCCATCACAATCAAATGAGGGAAATGAGCACAGTGCAGCGCAATTTCACCCCCATTTCTTGTACTTTTTGTTCGAAGGGTTGCAGTGTTTTCCCTCTCTCCCCCATCCTTGATTGCAGCTGTATCTTTTGCCTTTCAGTCATAGATCTTTAATTTTCTCACGATTTATCACTTGTTCACAGTGATTTTAATAAGGGTGAAAATGTCTCTTTAATCCCGGGTTGATCATATCTTCTTCGTCTATATTAAAAAAAAAAAAAAAAACAAATTATGTATATTAAATTTATCTTTTTGATTCAGGTAAACATAAATCATTTTGGCGTTGACGGGAAATAAAGTGGAAACCAACCATTTTACCAATTATGGTGACTAGATTGATGGAACAATGTTAAAGAGGTTCTCCAACTTACATTTGTACAGTATCAACGGACCACAAAAACAGTGACCCTTCAAAAGAGAGCAAACAACGTGTTTGGTCCCCTCCCAAGATTGAAGAATAAATGTCTATCTAACCAGGCTATTATCAGTTTTTTTGCTTAAGAATTAATGTCTATGAATATTGTTCAATGCCGTCTGCAGAAACAGCGCCCAGTTAAAAAGATTCATCACAAATGTCAAAATGTGTTTATTCAATTCTATATATTTCTTTGGACCACTATCTAGCTAGCTCGACTCACCATTATTCGTTTCTGAAGGTAGCAGATGACGATTAATAAATATGCATAGATCGATGAGAACAAATTCATTCCTTTGAATATTCAATTAAGTGAATAATATCTAGAGGGGTACTTGCCTACTTGGTATGTTGACAAGTTTGTCATGAACTTAAGATAAGCAAGATTCTATATATGGAAAATTGGCTAGCAGGTTAGCATTTACTAAGTTCAGGACTTTAATTTTGGGCTTGAGGCACTACCAAGTGAACGTACTGGGGTCAGTTTGTATGAAATGATTGATCGAAATGTGTAAGTTTTTACAGAAAAGGTTAACACCAAAGATTAATAATTAAGCTGCGCTAGGCCATGAAGATGTGAACTGTAATGAAATGAAAACCTTTTTTTTGTTGATGCATCGTATGATCATGATCCTAGAAAATCCCCTGTTCTCCTGGTCCAGCCAGCAGCCTGGAAGCCAGGGTACTACGAACTTTCCATGCAAAAACAAAAGCTTAATTGTTACCCTTGAAAAAAAATGGTCTAAGCTAGCAGGTTTTGACTCCGTTTCGCTTCTCATTTCTCATTCTATAGGCTTTCGATTTAAGGAAACGCCATTTAACTGGCCGCCCGTCCTAGAGCTTCAGCTATCTAATATCTATAAACTTGTACTTTTCTTTAATGTATGGTACGTGGTAATATGTTAAAAAAACTGATTTATATTATGAGTTGTTTTAAATTATAAAACATTAATTTTTTAAAAAAAATTGAGCTTATAATAGTAAAAATTTTCTTTCATCTAAAAATTTTTATTTTATAATTCAAAACACCTAACTATAAAGTAACAAATTCGTATATAAATATAAATATATACAATAAAAATTTAACTAATGCATAACTGATAACAAGCGAAATCATGAAATTTTTTTTATAAAAAAATAAAAAAACTACATGCACGGGAGGTCGAATTCACTACCTTGAGGTTGTAGGGCCTCACTCAACCTTTAGATCATTGATTAGTTGATTTGAGGGCTTACCGGCATCTATAGATCTTTACACGATTGCCCCTAATTGTTCTCATATTTTCATCTGCTTTATTTCGTATTATTTTTCATGTGCTTGTACATTAATTTGGATGTCAGAAGTAATTCAGTGGGAAAAGGAAAAATCATGAATTATTAATGAATTAAAGAAGGAGAATTATTCAAGTGAGAAAAGGAAAAAATCAAAATACAGAATCTTCAATAATAATTACATGTCAGTGTAATAAAGTTAAAATTTGTATTATATTTTATATACTTAATAATTATAATTAAACATCTTAATATATTTAATGTAAGAATATATTAAATTTTCTTTTTATCTTATTTAGTGGTATAACTTGAAGAAAAAAATCGGTCAAAGACCGTGTATTTTTCCACAAGAAAACGTGTTGACGATTTCTCATCGTTTGAAGCATGCAAAATCTAGTGCAATAATATTTGACTTCCTGCACCATCTAATGGTGCTATTCCTAATCCATGATTTGCATATTTGAATTCCTGCACCTAGTAGCCCTATTCCTTATCCATGATCAAAAGTATGCATTTCATCTATAACTTTTGATCTCTATGGTGGAAAAGCAAAGTAGTTCTTTAGCTGCTTATTTTATGGAAAGTATTGTATAATTTAAGTTGTATTAGATTGTATAACATTAATTATTAGAAAGAAATGAGATTCTTTCCTTATGTTTTGTAGTTTGATGTAGTTCAGATTATAAAACAAGAAACTTTAATTTTATGACCTTAAATTTTATAATAAAAAAGTAATGTGTAATTCATCCTATGTAAATTATATTTTTTTTTATAATTATTTAAGAGATGAACTCTTTAATATTAGGATAATTTTCCTTATTAATATAATTATAAAATTGTACAGACTATAAAACAGTAATTTCAATTTACAATAACTTAGTGATACATATCTTCAAATACCTAAATTAGTATAAGTTTTTTAGACTCCAGTCATAACCTATATCAAAATCGTACCTGAATAGACTGTCAAACACTGCCGATGCTGATGGAGTAGAGAGAAATCATGTTTAAGGCCTCTAATTGGAAACTTTGGGTAATTAATCGTAAGAATTTCTCAGGCGGATTCACATATTATCATCAAAATAGTGTTTTTCCTTTTAAGCTGCAGTAATGAAGGCTTGAATCTTGATTTTTAGGGGGATGTTGAACTTAGAAATAGAAACTCGAAAGTCTACGACAAAATGGTATTTTCCTCCTCCTATGGGAAAAACAGAGTGGAGTAATCGAGTGGGAAAAATTACAGATGAAATCCTTGATTAGAAAATTGTGAAAGTTGAGATCCTGTTTTGCTATTTATGCCTATATCCATTGGTGCATAATTTACGTATTGTCTTTGTCTTTCATTGTTGTTGCTGTGTTGTATATATGCATCATTACGTTAATCGCGCGAGAATCTGGGGTACGTAATTGTGGTACTGTATTTTGTACTTAGGGCCCCCAGAGGATATTTTTTAGAAAATAAAGGAGGCATTCTGTTTTAAAGTTTTAAAAATAATCATTAATTGCTAATTTTAATTAAAGAAATTAAATATTTTAAATTATGAAATGATTATCACCGCACTCAAGCATTGTCTTCCCCGCAACCCCAAAGTTTCGCTTGGTTTGAAATAATAATATTAATAATTAATTAATTAAAAGAGACTCACAGTTAAACTTAAAATGTTAAAAGTAATGTTTTAAAACTTGATTAAGTGACGCACTTATTTTTAACACAAATTTGGCTCAACAAGTTTAATTAATTTAACTAATTGATTTAATTGGTCAACTAAAAAGTTGACCTTTTAATATTTTTATGTTATTTATTGTTATATATTGATATTACTATATTTTAAAAACATAATTATATTAAAAATAACTTGTAAATTACTTTAAAAGTAATTTAAAATTTGAATTTAATTAAATATGTACAATTTAAAAAGATAAAATTCATAAAGAGTAAAAAAAAATTTCTAAGAAAAAAAGATTTTAAAATGGACCGAGCTTTTGGCAAATTTTACCGAATTTTTCTTTAAAACAGGTTAGCACATATAAACCCGATCTATTTTCTCAACGGAGTCCAGTTGGATTCAACCTAGCAAATATGACGGGATTTTAAAACCATGGTTAAAAGTCTGTGTGACCAGAAAATCAGAGCTACATCCTCTCAAATTTTGGGTACGCATCGGCATCACCTCTTATAGGTCAAAGAATTTACGCAAACCAAATTAGCGAAGTCCTCATACCTGGTGGATCAAAGTTTACAACAATATTGTGAACAAAAATTTTCACCACAATTACACCAAATTCCGATGTGAGGAGCTAAAGCACAGCTTTAGATTTCCCTCTTTCCATCCCATACGAGATCCTTGTTGATACATCCTGCTTACCTATTTTTAAAATTTTGTATGTTATAAATTCGTATATAAAAAGGCCATCTTTAAATGATAAGGGTCTTTTCATCGGTTTATGTTCATTTTAAACAAATTTCTCCTCTAACGATATTAGAAGCACACCCATTTATTAATTTGGTGAATTCGAAAAAAGATTAAATTTTTTTAAGTATTAATACCAAATTTTAAACTTACTTTATTCATTTATTTAGCAATAGTGATTCAAACCTTTAAGGACATAAAAAAATATATTTAAAAAAAGCAAGTATAGTAATTAAATATAATACAGGAAAGTGATGTACAGATTATTTTGCACCGTCTGTAGTCTACACGTCTTAAAACTATTAAAGAGAAAGGATCTTGAATGTGAGAAAGTCTCCCCATCAATGGTTATGATTTACAGTTTGACTGAAAAACTGCTTTCTCAATGTAATAATACTTGTTTTTACAGTATCCTTCATGTAGGAAGAGGAAGTAGGTTGGTTGTAGCTCCTATACCCGAGGAGAAATTTGAATTGGATGGAACAGGTAATGATGAGACACAGTTCTACAAGGGTGATAGTCCATTCCAAAGCAGGGTGGGTGAGGAAGAGATGGTAGAAATGGTAGCAGACAGTTTTGACATGGAAATAGAAGAAGATGACGTTGATGACAGAGAAAGAGTTGGAGAGTGTGAAGCTGAATTTGAAAAAGGGAGGCAAATGAGTTTAGGCCTATTAGCAAGCTCAGGAAGAATTGTACTGGGCCTACAACCTCAACCCAATCCAAAAACATTGGGCCAGCAGAACAGAACAGTGGAACCGAGAGGAAAAGAAGCATGGGTCTGTGAAAAAGGCCTAGAAATTTTACAACTGGGAGAACACTCTAGGCCCGAGGTTGAAGCACAAAAGGAGGCCACACAATGTAATGCAAATCACGAAAAAATAAAGAGTATTCTGGAAAACAGCAGCTCCTTTTGGGAGGGACTTGGAAGTGAAGATGGGAGTGAGAAGGAGTGGATGAGAGTGATGTCGAAGCAGGGCAAGCAGAAAAGAAAGAAAAAAGTTAAGGCGTGTAGCGTGGTATACAAAAGATCACTTCCTCTAGAAGTCATGAATCAGAAGAAGAAAGGCAAAGGCATATCTGGGTCGAGTCAAGCAAAGGAGGAGGAAACTTCACAGTGCCACCAAAGCACAAGCAACTCAGTGGCAGGGGGCTCAGTAGGGGATAGTGGCATCCAAAATTGCAATCGAAGGTTGAACAAGGTCCCCAACAAACGAATCGCAGCTGAATTGTGGAATTTTGCAAAAAGGATCGGGGCGGTAACAGAGGAAGAGGAGCTGGTCATCAGGAAGTTCGAGGAGATGGAGAAAAGGGATAGAGCAACAAAAGAGGTAGAAAACGCAAGAAGAGCAAGTGAAGTATAGAAGGTTAGTGAAGTAGTTAAATGAATATTCTATCCTACAATATTAGAGGGTTGGGGGGAGTGGGAAAGATAAGATCCATTAGAGAGCTGGTGAATAAAGAAAGTGTAGATTTCCTGGCAATATAGGAAACCAAGAAGTGTGGGTTAGATAGGAATTATTGTAAAAGGCTATGGCACTCAGAAGACTTTGAGTGGGTTGGGAAGGATTCTGTAGGAAGGTCAGGAAGGCTGTTGTGTGTATGGAATTCTAAAGCCATCAATGTGAAGCATGTTTGGGAAGGAGAGAACTTTATTGGTATCCAAGGGGTGTGGATTGTAGAGAACGTTGCGGTCAATGTTGTCAATGTTTATTGTCCATGCCAACTTGCTGGAAAAAGAATCTTATGGCTAGAGTTAAAAATTTTAGTTCTGCAATCAGGAGGAATGTGGTCTATTGTGGGAGATTTTAACGCAGTCCAGAAAGTCGAGGAGAAGATAGGGAGCAGTAGATTAACTATAGAGATGGGAGAGTTTGACAACTTCATTAGAGATTCGGGTCTGATTGATATTCCGTTAGTGGGTAGAAAATTGACATGGTACCAAATAGGAGGCAAATTCATGAGTAGAATTGATAGAGCACTGCTGTCAGAGGAATGGTTATCCAAGTGGGGGGAAGCTACACAATGGGGGTTGAGTAGAATAGTCTCTGATCACTGCCCTATCTTGCTTAGACATAAGAAAGTGAATTGGGGACCCAAACCATTCAGATTCTTTGATATATGGCTTGAGCAAAAAGAGTGCAGGGAGTTGATAAGAAAAGCATGGGAACAAGCAAATATCCAAGGATGGGCTGGGTTTCAACTTAAGGAAAAGCTGAAGATCACCAAGGAAGCACTGAAGAAGTGGAGCAAAAGCTTTGTTCCCGAAATTGACAACAGAATAAAAGAGGCCACAGCACAGATTGAGCAGTTAGATCTGAAAGGGGAGTCGGAGCAGTTAGTAGATGAGGAGATTGATAGAAGAAGATAGGCTTTGCTAGATCTATTGAACAATATAAGATACAAGGAGAGTATGCTACAACAAAAATCTAGAAAAGCATGGTTATCAAAAGGGGATGAGAACACAAAGTTTTTTCATAGCTGTGTGAAGGGGAGGTGGAAGAGGAATGAAATGAGTAGCATACAAATAAAAGGAATTCAGTATACGGAAGCTAGAAGTATGAAAGAGGAGATTGCTAGCTTTTTTTAGAACATGTTTGCGGAAGAACAGTGGAAGAGGCCAACTTTAGAAGGAGTAAAATTCAAGAGAATCTCTGCAGAAGAAAACAGCTCCCTCACTACACCATTCACCGAAGAAGAGATTAAGACTGCGGTATGGGACTGTGAAAGCTCTAAGGCACTAGGGCCTGATGGATTCAACTTCAAATTCATCAAAAGTGAATGGGAGACAATCAAAGGGGATGTCATCGAGTTTCTAGAGGAATTCCAGAGAAATGGCAAGTTGGTGAAAGGTTTTAATACCTCCTTCATTGTGCTGGTGCCAAAGGTAGAAAACCCACAGAAAATCGAAGAATACAAACCTATCTCGCTTATTAAGGCAGTCTATAAAATTCTTGCCAAATCTCTGGCCAACCGTCTTAAAAAGGTGCTGGCAGGGGTAGTGGTTGAACAGCAAATGGCATTTATAAACGAAAGACAATTGATGGACGGGGTCATGATAGCAAATAAGGTTGTGGATGAAACAAGAAAGAAGAAGAAGAAAGCCTTTATGCTCAAGATTGACTTTGAGAAAGCTTACGACAAGGTTAGCTGGAGCTTCTTGGATTTTATGCAGCAAAAGATGGGATTTTCTACTAAGTGGAGGAAATGGATTATGGAGTGCCTGAAATCTAGCATGGTGTCAGTACTAGTCAATGGCAGTCCTACAAGGCAATTCACGGTCTTGAGAGGCCTACGACAAGGGGATCCACTGTCACCTTTCTTATTTCTAATCATCGCAGAAGGGTTCAACGGGCTAGCTTCAACAGCAATACAAAATGGGTTATTGAAAGGAGTGGAAGTAGGACATGGAGGATTCAAGGTCTCACACCTGCAATATGCAAATGACACATTCTTGTTTGGTGAAGCTACCGATGAGAATGTCTGGGCCATGAAGGGTATTCTGAGAACATTTGAGCTTGTGTCGAGGCTAAAGATCAATTTTAACAAAAGCCTAATCATTGGCATTGGGGTAGAGGAAGAGTGGCTTGACAAAATGGCGTGGATTATGTGTTGCAAAAAAGGGAATATGCCCTTCAAATTCTTGGGGATCCCCATTGGGGGTAGCTATAGAAAGATTTCCTTTTGGAAGCCGCTAGTGGAGGTCTTCCACAAGAAATTAACAACATGGAAGGGTCGGTTCTTATCTCTTGGCGGTCGGATCACTCTCATTAATTTAGTGCTATCTAGTCTCCCCATGTTTTGGATGTCGATGTACTTGATCCCGAAAGGTACAATTCCTTCTCTTGATAAAATTCGTAGAAGATTTTTGTGGGGTGGGATTGAGGAAGGTAAGAAAATAAATTGGGTTAAATGGGATACGGTATGCAAGGATAAAGAACTAGAGGGATTAGGAGTGAAGGACTTAAGGAAATTTAATTTGGCGCTGCTAGGCAAATGGTGGGGCAGATTAGTGAACAAGGAAGAAGGGCTTTGGAAAAAAGTGATCGTAGAAAAATATGGGAAAAAGGGAGAACCTAGCTATAATTGGCTGAGGGAGAATATTGGCTGAGGGAGAATATTGGCTACGGATCAACTTGGTGGAGGGACATTTGTAGATTAAACAATATTGAGTGCAAGCATGAGGGGTGGTTAGTGGAGGGGTTCAAAATCAGAGTGGGAGATGGGGGTAGCATAAAATTCTGGTGGGATGAATGGTGTGGGGAAGGTCAACTGGCAAATAGATTCCCTAGGCTTTATTTATTATCTGCAGGAAAGGATTTCAAAGTTTCACAGTTGGGAGGGTGGCTCAACGGAACATGGATTTGGCATTTGGAATGGAGAAGATGACTGCATAGTTGGGAAGAACAAGAAGTATCAGAGCTCATGAAAATGATCAACAACATTACAATCACAAGAGGAAAAGAAGATATATGGGAGTGGAGTCATAGCAAAGATGGAGATTATTCATCAAAGTCAACCTACCAAGCACTCACGAGGGAGCACGGAACGGAACAACAACAGTTGGCTCTCCACAAAGTCTGGAACACAATTGTGCCAAACAAAATTTCAGCATTTTCATGGCAAGTGCTACAGGATAAAATACTTACAAAGATCAATTTAATCAAAAGGGGGATAACTCATGGCATAGAGGATGGCAGATGTGACTTATGCGGTAGCCAATTAGAGGAAGCTAGCCACCTTTTCATCCACTGCAGCATTGCCCACGACCTTTGGAATGCATGCTTCAGATGGTGGGGGATAAAATCAGCTCTGGACAAAGATTGCTTAAAGGTATTCCATCAACACTCATCAGTAATCAAAATGGTAGGGAAAAAAAAGGGTTGGAGCTGCATTTGGTTTGCTGTTGTATGCACACTTTGGTTAGCTAGAAATGAAAGGATTTTCAGAGGCAAAGAGGTGGATGAGAATAGACTCCTTGAACTAGTCTAGCTAAGAGCCTTTAGTTGGATAAAATGCAGATCGAAAAGCTACACCTTCTCACTATCAAATTGGTTCCAGAATCCATTAGCTTGCTTAAAGAACTGGCGCAACAGGAAGAAAAGGTATGTGAATACTGGTAAGGATGGAAGGGATTGATTTTCTACAAAAAGGAAGCATAGGCCGATATCTTCTTTCTGCTAGTTCAAATTCCTTCTTTCTTCGGGGCATAGAACATTGCTTCAACTAGAAAGACAGAGTTTGAACTAGTACTTGCTAGGACATTATGAGGTTCTGCTCTTTTTCAGTGGTTGGAAGGATTTTGGTATTCTGACTTGCTGAATCCTGTATTTAACGGGTTGGAATGCCCCCAGTATTCCAAAATTTATAAATATTTTGCTTTTAAAAAAAAAAAAAACAGTATCCTTCATGCTAAACTATTATTCTCATTTTAGAGGATTTTCTTCCCATAAGATCTGTTAAAAATTATGATAAACCGCAATTATTATTTTTTTTATCGGCAATTAATTAACAAGTGTAATAACACAAATAACCAAAATTTAAAAACATTCTAGATTGGCCACTCCTGTATAGGCAATGCAAAGTAATTAGTAACATGTTTGATTGCAAGTAGTATTTTCAATTCTGATTCAAGAAACAGAAACCTAATCTTTATTTGTCAAGTCTTGTTGGGATTGATATCGGGTTCCGTCCATTTTCTGGATGTTTGATACACTTGAACCAGAAAGGGTTAAGTGCTGCTCTTCGTGGCAGGAAAGTAAGTTTTGTCTATTTTTGTAAGTAATTTCTTGAACCAGAAAGTGCTTCTCTCTTAAGTTAAAACTCTAGGCTAAATTTTGGGTACGGTTATTGAATTCCGCTTGTTTGTTGGAATTGAGAAATGTATGCATAACAGTTTTTGGGGCAACTACCAATTGGATCCATGGAATAACTTCGCACCAAATTGGTTAATTGATTAATTGATCTAGTAGCATGTTTCAAAACCTGATATAGTGAGTGAAAGGGTGCATAATTAGGGGGCTATTTCTTATGATTTTGGCATGTAAAAGTAGGAGTTGGTGAATTTAATGGGTTTGAGTACCCCTTGTACCCTATATTCTCAATAAAATTATTTGCTGTTCAAAAAAAAAAAAACTTCGCACCAAATTTTACCACCCTTGTATGGCACATTAATTAATGAAAAATGCTTAGTGCACCCACCAGTTCGACACTCGAGGGTGTACACTTTACAAAACTAAATAATTATAAGAATAAAATTATAAATTTATCCTTAAAAGTCATCTTCCTCCCGATATCCCCTTTTTATTCTTGTCTCTCCATCTCCCTCTTCTAACAGATTCATTATCTTCTTCCTTTTTCCTTCTTCCTCTTTTTTTTTTTCTCTCCATCTGGAGAACCCAGATTGGGCTCTCCATCTGGGTTCTGCAACAGAACCCAAGAGAGAAAATGAAAAAAAAAAAAAAGTGAGAACCTGATACGGCTGCCAATTGTCTTGCAGATGATTAGGATAAAGATGGATTTGGTGCTTGAATGCTTGATTGAGTTTTTCTGGGATTTGTTCTTGCTGTCATTTGAGAAATGGGTTTAGTGAGAGGGTAAATTTATAATTTTACTTTTAAAATTATTTGGTTTATGTAGTGTGCACCCGTCGGGTGTCAAACCAGCGGGTGCATGAATCATTGTCCGTAATTAATTTGATATTATTAACAACATGTTAATGCAAGTTAAAGCGTTTAGTTTCTTTTAAATAAAATCTTGAGTTTGAGTTTTATGAATGGAAAAATAAACATTGGAAGAGCTTCTCTTTATGAGGTTTGACGTGATTCAACTTCAAATTAATCAAGACTAATGTGACTTTCAAATATCAAGTTGTTTTTCTTATAAAAAAAATTAACTTGATATTGACGGTCCAAGTGAAAAAAATTTGATTCCTTTTAAATAAGGTCTTGATTTTAAATTTTATGAATGAAAAAATAAGCGCTGGGAGAGCTTCCCTTTATAGAGTCCAATAGGGCTTAACTTTGAATTCGTGGAAACTCAATATGGTTTTTGGATTTCGAGAGGATTAATATCAAAAAAAAAAAAAAGATAATGATTAGTACACATTTCGATTTAACATACTACAAAACACACTCTTTAAAAAAATCACTATTTTCTAATATGAAAATAAAGACAAACAACTTAAAGGTGCAGCAATGTATACAGAATACAAGAATTAGATAAATCAAGTTTATTTATATTATAATTTTAATAACTGAACTAGAACAAATATAAGAAAGTGTGTTGAATTGATTGTGGATTAATAATTTTCCTTTCTTTTTTTCCATATGCACTACTTTAATTGAATAGTTTTATTTAATAAAAAAAATTTCAATTATTATTCATATACTAGTATAAAAATGCATTACCTAAAGATATGTATAAAAAAGCCAAATGACTTATATTTTGAATAGAGAAAGTAATACAAAGAGTTTTTGTGCACAAGTTAATCGTACAATAATTACACATTTTTTTCATTAATTGTTAGTATTTATAAAAAAAATTGACTTTAATTTTATCAATACTAAATTAAAATCATCTACATAGCACTATTATTAAAAATTAAATTAACCTTTTCGTTTTCTCATACAAATAAATAAATAATGTGCTATTAATACAATCTTAATTGTAAAAGTTATTAAAATTTACTACTAAAAAGGATGAAATTGAAAAAAATATATATTTTTAGGGTCTTTCTAACATTTATTGTATCTTTTCATTATTAATTTATATGAAAAATTACAAAAATAAACTTTATTTTCAATATCAAGTTACATGAAACAACTTATTTAAATGGTTGATAAACTAAAATCAACCTTTATTTTTGTCATGTGTATTAATGATACAAAATATGTAATAAATACACCTTAACATATATAGTTAAAGTATAAGTTAAAATATTCTTAATTTTTTTATTAATAAAAAAATAGAAGCATTAGGACAAGTTAAGGTAATTAAAAGGGAAAGAAGGGTAATTCCGTAAATGTGAGGAACATAAGAAGGTTCAGTACGCCTTCTTAAGGTTAGGTCACATGATTGCCCGAACCTCAAAATGGTCAGGTGGATTTTCAGAAGTCATAAGCTTCTCATTCCGACACGTAGCACCGTACCAACCTTTGCATTTATTCTAACGCCTACCCGAAGCTTGTGCTATCGCTTTTGTTATGCGCGGAAATGGTTGGTTAATATATATATATTTTTTTTTTTGCCTAGAAAATGAATGGAATTGATTATTAGAAAAAGGTTAGGGAACAAAAATTACATGTATTTTGATATACCTTAATTTGGGCCACTAATATGTGAGATCTGAAACTACTAATAGGTTAGATTTGAAACCACTTCAAGCTATTTTAAATTTTATATTATTTCTCAAGTCATTTAATTAAAATTTTAAAGAGTCACTTCAAACCATTCAGTACTATATTATTTTAAGTTTTAAATCACTCTTAAGTTTTCTTCGACATTAAGGTATCTTTGTGCCACTTGTACACCACTCGAGTCACTCTAAAGCTTAAAACATCCTCAAGCCACCTTAACCATTCATAGAGTTACTTCACAAGCCACCCCAAACCTTAGGTCACCCCTAAGCCACCTTTGATCTTGAGTCACTACTAAACCCACTCTAAACCTCAAGACTATCCTAAGTTGGTATGAACTTTAGGTCATTTTTGAGCTACCCAAGACTTTAGGTCACTCATAACTTGGCTTGGACCCTAAGTCACTCCCTGAATCAACCAAAACCCTAAGTGACTCCAAGAGTCACCCCAAATTCTTAGTAACTACTAAGCCACCTCAAACCCTAGCTCATTCCCAAGCCTTCTTAGATCTCGGGTTACCTCGAGCCACTTAGGGGTTATGTCATTCTCAAGTTACCTTGAAGCATTGGGTCACCCTCTAGTCACATCAAGCCTTGGTTTGCTTCAAACCATCCTAGACTTTATGTCACTTCTTGAGCCACCTTGGATGCTCGATCACTCTTGAGCAATCTAAGTGCTGGGTGACCCCCAAGCTGCCCCAAAGCTACCAAGCCATCCATTGACCATGACTTACTCCCTAATCTACACCAAACCCTGGGTTACCTAAAGCAGCCTGGAAACCTGAGTGACTCAAAAGTGATTAGGGATCCAAGGTGGCTCAAAGACAAACTAGGGTCTAAGACAACTTGGCTATAACTTAGGGTTTAAGGTAGCTCAAGGATTGACTCAAGATTTGTGGTCAATAAATTCTATGGGACTTGCAAACCTAATATTGTAGGTGTTTTTAATTTCCCTCAAAGTAGATCATCTTATATAATTAGGTGTTGCTTTGTGGGTTATTGCCATTTAGGCCCATGTAAACTAGGTACCTTAATAAAGTATGTTAGATGTTTAAAATAATTTTCTTTTTTTTATATCTTCTTCATAGATTAAGAATTTAAGAACAATTTATGTATTTACTTATATTAGTCATAAGATAAAATGAAAATTTTGGTGATATGTTAGATAATTAAACTTATTAAGGGATAACAATAAGATTAAAGTAAGAAAAAATATGCCTTCTTTAAAAAAATTAAAAGGCAATTAATTTGGGACACACTTTTAGTCAAAAAAATAATTATTATTTTGAGATGGATTGAGATTTAAAATACACAAATCAAACTCAAATGTGCATTCTTAAACAAAACCTTATGGCATCTCCACCGGAGTATCCCATTATAGCTATCACCATGGGTGGAGAAAACCTAAGGGTTAACATGCCCCAAGTATCGCCTTTATCTTTTTTTAGTTTTTCCCTTTTATTTAAAAATTTTAAATTATAAAATATAAGTTAAATAAAATAATATTAACATAACTTTTGAAAACTCTAATTTGAGTCTTCTTATATATAGGAGAGTAGTGTCTCATTTAAAATTTTTATGTAGGTTAAATAAAAAGCCAATAATTGATATACCTTTCAGTTCTACACGCTTAACAACACTTATCGGTTCAATTATTAAGAAATTAATATTTTTAAATTTATATTTAAGGTGGGAAAATTTTTAAAGATAAATTTTAATAATTGAACTAGCAGATATTGTTAAGTGTGTTGAACCAGAGGGTTATCAATCATTTTTTTAAATAAAATAAAATAAATTATGATAATATCCTCTCTTGTACAAAAGTTATATCTAAGCCGAACAAGCTCTAAGGTTGCTGGTGTAAGTTGCGAGTAAAAAAGTAATGGTGTTATTATTATTATTTTTTTTTTTGGAAGTTTACCTTTTTTTTTATGATTGATTATAAAAGTATAATGTTATTTTTGAGATTCTAATCAAACTCTTAGCTCAAGTCTACGGTCTACCTAGATGTGGCTTGAGGGGTAGTATAAAGAGATGAGGGAGGGCAAAAAAGGTCGGCAAGAACAAAAGAGCTAGCTTTTTATCTGCAGAGATCGATTGCTTGATTGTGGAAAAAAAGAGAAGAAAACACACAAAAATGGGGAGGGGAAGGGTTGAGTTGAAGAGGATTGAGAACAAGATCAACCGGCAGGTGACTTTTGCTAAGAGAAGGAATGGCCTTTTGAAGAAAGCCTATGAGCTTTCCGTTCTTTGTGATGCCGAGGTTGCTCTCATCATCTTCTCCAATAGAGGAAAGCTGTACGAGTTTTGCAGTAGTTCAAGGTATCACCAAAACAACTAAGCCCCCCCACCCCTTCTTTTTTGTACTCTCCCCCCCTAAAAAAAAGATCAATTTTTTGAGATCATTGTTTTCTCTTTCTTCTTTCTCCTCCCCATTTTCTTCTTTCTCTTGTTTTGAATGAAATTTGAATTCTAACTTTTAGATCTTGAGCTCTGAGAAGAGTTGATTTTTGCTGTTTTAAGAGATGGGTTTGAGATTTGGGAGGAGTTTGAGAAAGCAGAAAAAGTTGGGTTAAGTTTTGCCCTTTTTGTGAATGCTTCGGCGTTTTTAGCAGGTTGATTGTTTTTCCTCTTCGAATTGATGTTAGATCTGCAACTGGAAAACCATAAAAATTAACAAGATCACTGTTATATTGACCCTAATTTCCCCATCCTTTTTTCTTTCTTCTCCTCCATCTTCATTTTCCCATTTTTACACCCATCTTGATCAATTGTTTTTTTGAGTTCAATAACCCCAGAGATCCTCTCCATATTCTTTTTGTTCTTTCAAAATCATGTTCCTTTCCTCGTTTTTTCAAACAAACAAAACTGAAGTCTTTCGGGTACGTATACACTAATTTGATTTGGTATCATAGAACAACCCAGCAATTTTTTCTCAAAAATTAGGGTTTTTAATAATTTTTTCTTCGTCATTCTCCCTGTTCATTCATGAACGTACAGGCAATCATCCAACTTTTTTAGATAAAAGGGAAAAAGTTAAGTAATGAATCTACATGCCCTGATCATATCAATCAGGAGAAGATATATATGATCATGTAGCTAGATTTTAAGCTTGTCAATTTCAGAATTCTTCCTTCTTTCCACCGGATCATGAACTTCTCTCTCTCCATGATGAGCCCTCTGAAATCTGCAGCTGAGATTTAGGGTTTGATTGATCTCTTTCAGAAGCTAGCTAGTGAGCTTGAGGGTTAGGGTTTTCCATTCTGGGATCAGACGTCCTCTGGTTAGGGTTTCTAATCTGGAATTATTTTCTTTCTTTCTCGTCAAATGACAGATCTGAATTAATGTTAGAAATGATGTTTGGTTTTGAGTGTGAAATTGGTTTTGCAGTGATCTGATTAATATATGGAGATCTCCTGATTCCTCCTAATTTTTCTTTTTAATCAACCCTTCTTAATTTTTCTTAGCACTCTACTAATATATTTCTCTTAATTAATACACTGATTT